AAACGAGAAGGTTAGCCAGATCCTTCAGGAACTCAGCATTCTTGGAAATGTCTAGATGATTTACAAAATAATAACTGCCCAACTTGTATTACAAACAGTCTTGAACACTAGATGAGTTTAAAGCCTAAAGATTCAGGCTGTTCTCCTAAATTCAGTGGAACACAAATTAGGTAAATTCACATAGGATTGTTGTTTAATATACATAAATAAAATCAACTACCAGCCCAGTCCTAATAATTCCTGTCAAACTAATATTACACACAGCGAATAGTACTTATGTCTTCTGTATGGATTTCATTGGATCTCAATTAGAATCCAGGGTCAAGCCTATGATCACCGCCCTATCTGATAGTGGATCCCACTGACCAAAGCTCGGTAGGAATTTCTGGGAAATGGTCTGTGGATTGCTATACTCTCGAGTTTAGGCTTTGAATCTGCTTGCCCGAATACAAATGTTGTCTTTATTTCATCAAAAATTTCACATTTGCACTTTGAATGGGACTCTCGATGAAAAAAAAAGAAAAGGTGCATGTGAAAGGAATAAAATTTCAGAGAGATGGCTGTTTAAGTGCACCCCCTAATCAGGACGGTAGTTGGTTGTTGTTGTTATTATTACTAGTAATGTCGTCATGAGAAACTGTTAATCCTGCTATTACATAAAATTGTTGCCCGGATTTTTAATAAGCGGATGGTAGAAATTCCGAAGAAGCCTTTGCCGTCCAGAGTCGCTTTGGATAGCGAGGTGGGCGGCATATAAATTTAATAATAAATAAATAAAAAAATTTAAAAATACCATTCATGGGCTCAAAGAAATCAGCGTAAGACAAGAGTGACTAAGGGAAGCCTTTTCATTTCAGCAGCGTCTGTGCCTCACGCGGGCGCCATTAGGCAGTTCAACGAGGTTCCCGACGAGCGCACGGAGCCTTCCTAGTATCCGCCGATCGCTTCTATAAAAGGAAAATCCAGCGAAGCCAGCCGCCCACGAGTCCCTCCTGTTTCCTCTGAAGATCTTTCTTCAGGGACGCCCAGGCAGCCTTTGACTGACCAGATGAGGGCGAAGGAGAGGGAGGGAAGCCAAGGGGGGCGGGCGAGAGACGGGGAACTCGCCGAAGCGAAAGCGCAACCTCTGCTGCAAGTTGCGGACCCGGTTTTTGCGCGCCAGGCAGCAAGCAAACGCTGCAGAACCACCTTCTCCATTTCTGGCCTGCTCCCTGCCTTGGATTGCACGCCAAATCTCATTGGAGGAGCGGTGTGGGGAAGGGAGAGGGGGGGGAGGGAAAGGAAAGCTTCCATGTGGTGGAGCGCGCTGGGCTTTGCGCTTTTTCTTCCATAGAGGGATTCGCGCGCTTCCGCCGGCACCGTTGACTTTTCTAAGCTTGGGAAGGCAGGACTCTGTAGTTGGTAGAGGTGCTGACATATGTCACAAGGCGCTGCTGCTGCTGCTGCTGTTGGTGCTGCTGCTATTGCTGCTGCTACACCTGTGGAAGGAAATGCCTCCCGGGCGAGGGGGGTGCCAAACAGCCCCGGCCGGCTTGGGTGGTCAAGGAAAAAACTGGCCCTAACTAGCTAAACACCGCCGACCTCAAAAGAGCAGCAGCGATTCAGAATCTCAGCAGGCGCTCCGGCTTGGTTTCCGCTGGGGCCGGACACTGGCACTTTCAGGCCCAGGGGCAGAGCTGCGGCAGGGGCCGGAGGGCATTCCTACCCCCAGGCTCCAAAGCTCTTTGGATTAAGGAAGGAACCCGCCCGGGACTAGAAGTCGCAGAGGTTTGTCCCTACGTGCCTGATTCAGAAACCCGCCTCGCAGTGAGGGGAGGCAATTACTGTATTCCTAAAGATTCTTTTTTTTAATGTCTTTGAATCCACACAAGAGCTAACCATTTGGTGTAGGTGATCATCCGGATCACCATCAGCGGATACGAAAGAAGCCCCCCCAAAAAAGTGTTTTCCCCTCACACACACTTGATTTGAGGACTTGAAATGTCAAAGAGGTAGTGATCTGAATGTGAGAAATGCAGTATTTTAGAGATAGTTTTATAAATAGCTTTATGGATTCAGGATCGGTACCTATCAGCGAAGTGTCACCATTGATTTTGGGAAAATAATGCTAAAGGTTATTTTTAGCCCTTCCATTAAAACATGTGAATTTTCAACCATGCTGTAAGTTTCATGCACTTCTCCTTGAGAGATTTATATTTGGCAATTCAAGCGATTTTGTCACTATATCAAATATAAGAGAAAGTTAGGTGTCACTCTGCTCATTAGAACTACTTCTGAATTTTGTTTCTTGATTTTAAAATGCTATCAGCCTAGGCTCTGTGAATATGGTATAAATACTCACTTTTTCAGGTCAGAAAAAAACCCCTCACATTTCTCTTAAAAAATCACAATGTTGTTATTGTTCCAGTACTAAGCATCCTAATTTGAAAATAAATCTCATTAGAAATATTTAATGTCTTTCTGAATAAAACTCTATTATTAGGTTACATCAATCTGACTTTTTTTTCAATGTACCAATAGCAACAAACTATTGAACATATCCGTTCTGAAGAGTGTAATCAATGTAGTATTTATTGCAAATACCCATCTGTTACTGAAATGGTTTTACCGAAATCCAATAAGCATGCACACTATTAGAATTCTGTTGTTTATTATTTGATGTTAAATATTTCTAACTTTGAGTAAATCAAATTAAATTGATCTTATTGTGTTGGACCAATGAAAAGCCAGTGCCTTTGAATTCAATGAGACTTGCTCCCAGGTGTAATGAATAGTTTGTAACAACGGTCCTTGCTCCTCGGCAGCATATACACACAAAAACAACATAGAAATGTATATAAATAGCACACACAAAAGTAGATCCATAAATTGCTATAAAAATGTGAATGTTCTTGTATATTATGATGTTTAGGTATTATTGAAATCAAACTTGGAAGGCGGACAAGTGAGCCTCCAATTAATTCGTATGCTCCTCAATATAAAGCCAGTAAATTTTCCCATTCAGTTATATAATTATGAAAAGAATGGTTAAGGGACTATGGTAGGCACACTAAAGGTAGAAATAAGTTCCACTGAATTCAAGAAGAATTACTTTGGCGTAGGCTTTAATGAGATTAAATTGTCAAGTTACCTTTGTTCAAAAATATAGCTGGTAAAATTTGCACAATAAATATTTACATTGTCTATTTTCTTCTAACACTGAAGGAAGTCACTCAAAATTTCCCTATATTCCCTTTCCTAAGGATGAGACTTTTTTATATATTTAAGAATTGTACTGCCAGGCCAGAATGAACAAAGAAGCGCGTTCGGAAAGGAATCTGGAGGTCTCGCTCGAGGTTCCCTTTCCGACGTGCACTCCCTTTCCTGCAGCAGCCACACTGAGGCACATTAGGCAGGCAGACCGGATGACGCATCTGTCCTTCGGCTGTCGGCAGTCTGGTGCGCGGTGGCTGTTCAGGTGAAGAACGTCAGGTTTACAGGTCGGGAGGAAACCACAGAAAAGCCCCGCCGGAGCAACTTGGAAACAACACGCAGCAACTCCTTCACTGATCAGCTTTTCTCGATTTTGGGGTGGGATCCCAGAAGGGATCCAGCAGTTGAAAACTTGGGGCAGAAACCCAGTCCCAGGCGCTAGAGAAAATGGGCGCTAGTTGTGGCCTGTAGCAAAATCGCCTTGCAAAAAAAAAAAACCCCACCTCACTCTGCCCCGCCTCCTCCGCTTTCCTGTTTCGTTCCCCCTTGCCCTAATTGCCTATATGTTCACACCTGCAAGAGCGCCTTTGAAATCAACTATCTCGACAAGTCTTATTTTTCAAACCGCTTGTCTAGAGAGAAAGCAACCAGGACGAATGCCAGAGGGCTTTTTCCTTTCTTTTCAAACTGGGGATGGATCTAAAGGTCGCAACGAAAGAGCTGCGTCTACAACACGATACGCGTGGGACTTAAGGGCCGCTTTGCTCCAGAAGACAGATGCGCCCAGGTCGGCCAGCTCTACCGAGCGACCCGCCTGCATAAGAGAGCGTTCAAAAGGAAAACAGCACGACTGCCAGTTCCCGACGAGCTTGCAGATAGAGACGGCCTTGTAACTTTCAATTCGGGGCGCAGCGCCGTTCGAGGGGCCCGGCCCTGCCTTCTTAGCAGCAAGCGAGAGTCGACAAGTTGCAGAGAAGCTCCTGCGTCCCCAAGGCCATTCCTCCCGGCTTCCCTGCGACGGAGCCGACTTCTGGCTTCCATCTCCAGCCCGCCCTCCACCGCGCGCTCGAAGAAATCCCTACCCCCTCAGGAGATCAGCTTGCAGCGGCAGGGAAAGATTTTCCTTCCTTATTCCTCCCACCCAGACCCACACCCACACCCACACCCACACCCACCCCAGCCCCAATTTCCCGCCTAAGCTGCCTCCTGCATTAGCTGCCTTTGCGAAGAGATGCCGCTTTCCCCCTGATTTGTGCGCGCGTGTGTGTGTGTGTGTGCGCGTTTTGCCATTCCACCCCTCTCCGCTTCCCTTCGCTCCGAGACCCCCACCCTTGGGCTTACGCGTACGATTTCCTGCTTGGGGTGTCCTTCTCGTGCAATGTGACTTTGCCATGAACTCGCCCGTGCCCAGATGGCTCCCAAGACTGGGGGGGCGCGGTGCGGTGGGGGGGGAGAAGCATCCTGACGAAAGCGGAACTCGCCGGAGCCCATACAAATCAGAAAAGAGCTACTCCAGAAGAGCAGTGAGTAGACACCGGAGCCTGCGGATAAGAAAAGACGCTGCGCTGGCCGCCGCCGCCGCCGCTTGAAACAGAGACGGGAAGGCGGAGGACGCCGAAAGCCCACCAGGCACAAGCGAATTTAAAACAAGCAAGGCGGGATCGGCCGCCGGTGGAGAAGATCTCCCTGCGAGGTCCTGGGGGAGCCGCTGCCGAGGTTTGGCGCGGCGGACAGCTGCCGTCGTTAAGCCGCCGCCGGAGCCGTCACCTTCCGAGGGAAGCCGCGGCAGCAGGTGGTGGTGGGCCATGATGGCCACCAGCTTCCAGGAGCCCCCGTCCGAGGACACGGTGGCCCTTCTGCACCGGGCCAAGGAGCCGGGCGGCGGCGGCGGCGAGGCGGCGGCCAAAGGCGAACTGAGCCCGGCTTCCAGCAAGGCGCCGTCGTCGATCGGAGCCGCGGTGGCGGCGGCGGAGAAGAGCGACCCGACGCAGAAGCCGCCCTACTCCTACGTGGCGCTGATCGCCATGGCCATCCGCGAGAGCGCCGAGAAGCGCCTGACTCTGTCGGGCATCTACCAGTACATCATCAGCAAGTTCCCCTTCTACGAGAAGAACAAGAAGGGCTGGCAGAACAGCATCCGCCACAACCTCAGCCTCAACGAGTGCTTCATCAAAGTGCCGCGAGAGGGCGGCGGCGAGCGCAAAGGCAACTACTGGACGCTCGACCCGGCCTGCGAGGACATGTTCGAGAAGGGCAACTACCGCCGCCGCCGCCGCATGAAGCGGCCCTTCCGCCCGCCCACAGGCCACTTCCAGCCGGGCAAGAGCCTCTTCGGGGCCGCGGCGGAGGCGGCCGGCTACGGTTACCTCACGGCGCCGCCCGCCAAGTACCTGCAGGCGCCTTTCCTCAACGCCGCCGCGGCCGCCGCCTCCTGGTCCTTGGCGCAGCCCGCGCCGCCGCCGCCTCAGGCGCCCTCAGCCGCTTCCTACGGGGCCTGTCAAATGGCCGTGGAGGGCGGCGGCGGCAGCCCGGGAGGCAACGGCGGCGGCAGTCCTGTCAGCGCCGTGAAGGGAATGGGACTCTCGGCCGGGCCCGGCGTGGCCACCGCCGGCGCTGCCTCAGCCTACGGCCCTTACTCGCGCCTTCCCGCCATGGTGAACTCGTACAACGGCATGGGCCACCACCATGCCCACCACCACCCGCACGCCCACCACCACCACCCGCACGCCCACCACCACCATCACCACCACCACCACACGGCCCAGCAGCTGGGCGCGGCGGCGGTGGCGGCCGCGGCAGCCGCGGCGGCCGCCGCCTCAGCCGGCAGCCCTTCCCCGCAAGCGGCGCCCAACGGAGCCGCCGGCCTGCAGTTCGCCTGCGCACGCCAGCCGCCCGAGCTCGCCATGATGCACTGCTCGTACTGGGACCACGAGAGCAAACACGGCGCCCTGCACCCGCGGATAGACCTCTGAGGGAGGCGGACGAGCCCGCATCGCCGGTGCGGGCATGCCAGGCAGCCGACCCCGACCCCGACCCCTTCCCACGGCTCGGGCGCGGTGGTGTCTTCTGAAGAAAAGCTTGGACCGCCTTTCCTGATCGTTTTCGTGTTCACCGATGCCCGGCGCGGGCAGTCATTTTCGGTGGGGAAAGGGAGCCCTCCTAACACACACACACCCCACGCAAACTCTTGTGCATCTGCAGCTCTATGGCTCCTCTCCGGGTGCAGGTGACGTCCCACCTCCTCCTCCTCTGCTTCGAATAGCTCGGCTTTTGGATGTAAATCCTCCTCCCTGTCCCTAGTTTGTAGGGGGGTTAGACAATGCAGCGTTTTACTCCATCTCCCTAGTGCAAGCCCTAATAAAACTAAAGCTAAAGTCGCCTCCGGAGTTTGTTAGTTGCTTTTTAGAAACACACACTGGCGACACAGCACGGACCGCGACCTTAGAAGACGTCCTTTGCGTGGTTATCCCGAACTTACTTTGCAGAAGCAGGGAGAGTCGGTAGTAAGTAATGTTTTTAAGATCGAAACGTGGGTCTGAATTGCAGAGGCATTTGCTTTGCATTGTGAGCTTAAACGGGGTTAAAATCCAAAGCAAAGAAAAACGGGGGAAAAAAAATATCATATGTTCGCCGCTGCAGATGAGAGGTGTCGAATCAACAACTCTGTCTCCTGCTCAGAACAACCAAACTACCAAACTTTAAAAGCCAGTAAAGGCCACGTTTGTTTATTCCGAAAATATATATTAAATTGTATTTGGACTTCAATTAACTATAAAATAGGGTGGCGATGGCTGTAAATTCTATCGAAACGGGCTTCTTAGTTTTAACATGTTGGAGTCGTTTATATCGGAAAGATTTCAATTTGGATTGAAGCAGGAATAACTTGGACGCAATTCACAATACTTGTAGACTGATGTTTTTAGAATTGCATCTCGTGATTTACACGATCTCTCTGTTCTAAATATGTAAAGCACACCAAATTTATTAGGATTTATTTTCAAAAATTGTTTCCAAGAATGGCAAAGATTTTCAACATATTTTTGTTAATATAAATTTCATGAAACGTAACACTTTCATTCCACTGTACTGTGGTTTACAGGCAGTTTCAAAAGTTGTTGTTTTCAGTTTCCTGGCTCGGTACATGTTAATCTGGGCACTTGAGTATATTGTCTGTTTCAACAAGTTTAGGGATGTTTAAAGTTGAGAGGGGAAGAGGTTTGCATTAATGGGATTAATCTGATTACAATGGATAATTACTGGAAATAACTATTTGAAATCTAGAAGGTGGGATGTTAAAAATGCCTGTATTTTGAACAGATTGGCTAATACAAATAATGGAAAGCACTAGACTTTCACCGCCTTTTTTTTTTTTGGCATAGACTTGTCCACTGTGACCCCAATGATGGAGGAGGGGGACAATGCACTTCTTCAAATCTTAATATCACTGTCCAAAATAGTACTTATTTGGGCACTGTATTGTACCAGAAAGGCAACTTGTAGCCATGTTTATTTGAAAGGGGAAGGAATTTTAAGAACAAGTTTAAAACAATTGTATATGTATATGTATTTTTTTTACAAAAAGAAAATAGTATTTTCTCAAGATAAAGTAAATTTATACTGTATAAACTTTATACTAAAATTATTTGGCTAAAGCAAAGCTATTCTCTATTATTATGAATAGTGTAATAACGGAGACTGTTTTTTGCAATGATGCTGTTTTATACACACATTTACACACACACACACATTCTACCCTCCACATGGGTGTTGAGACTAATTTTTATCTTTTTTTAAACTGAAACTATTTTGCCTGTAAATCAATTTTCATGGGTGGTCCTCTGCTTTTCTCTTCTTTTATGAAACAAAGTTTCACTATTTGAGCCTGAAAAAGAAGATAAACAGAAAATGTATTAATGGGGAAAGGGGGGAGTCATAGCAGTTTGCTTAAATACTTTTGTAAGCAAGCTGTTTTGATATTGTGCCTTTCTGGGACCAACTTTTTTTAGAATAACTAGCACTTTTATTGTATATCCCTTTGTATAGTCTCCAATAAAATGTTATTTTTTCTCTTTTATGTTTGATTTTCTTTTCTTCCACTATTTATTAAATACTGCAAATCTTTACAAATGTGATTACTTTCTGTGATTAATTTGCTACAAAAACTGCTAACATATAGACTTGAGCAGAAAGTTTTAGGATTTTACTTACATTATTTTCCACTTTCATGGAATTTGGTACTTGTTCAAAACAAAAAGAAAGATACATAAACCTCAGATAGAATAGTATGGTAGTAATGATAACTATAATCATCTGAAAATATTATTAAAATCACTGTCCCATCTAGCAAAATTATTTATTTGTGGATTGATTGTGTTAAAGCCATCTTTAGATGGCTGGATCTAAAGCATCTGTGTTTACAATATTAGTAATAGGTAAATTCCTCTGAAATCAATCTTTTTGTTTCCATGTCATAATTATTAGTCCAAGAATACTTATGGTCCAGTTGTCTTAATTACGTTTATTCAGAAATATCTCTTATTTGTGAAGCTTTTAGGGTCATTTGCTCGCATTACAACAGCTCTTTTCTACCAGTATGTGGAAGCACATCTCATTTAAAATAGTGGCAGGATACCTGGGAGGATCTAAGTTCAGAGGAGTGTGATCTGGTTTGGTGACTGACTGTTGAAAATGCTGTTAGTGTCAGGCTTGAAAAAATAATTATCATGTCTAAGTTGTTCTAAGCCATGCAAAAAAAAAAAAAAGCACTCCTTGTTGTGAAGATCTTCACTTGCAGAGTTAATCCAGATGGATTTTTCTTTAATAGTGAACATATGTTGGAGAGACATACTAGTGGCATTTTTATTATAGCATTGTCTTTTTCTTTCTTTTCTTGTAATATATGTACAATTTCAACCTCTTTTACCTATATCACCAAAAGTGTAGGGGATTGTAGGCCGGAGATCTGTACAATATGTGTGAAAAAATAGCTAATGATCCCATTCTTTTTATTTCAGAGAGTAAGGCCATTTTTTTAAAAAAAATATTATGTAAGTATTGTACACTATACATATATAATATCAAATGACTGGTAAGAATATTTGCAGCCCTACCCTAAAGAAGCATATTTATTTAGAAATAAATTCCAGTGAGTTCAGTGGGACTTATTTACCAAGCTGCTACTTAATTTGGAGATAAACTATATGAGAATGGGTGGGTTTACTTCCTCCCTAATTCTATGTAGGAAGAGCTACATTTTCAATTATTCCTGTTTGGTGATGATAAAAAGTAGATGTTTGGGAGAGGCAGGCTAGAATTGTGCTCTGAGTCTACCACATTCTTTCCAGTGGTGTTTTGCATGTGGTACCTTGCAGATTTTAGTCTTATGTTTCCATAAGAGACAACTTATGCAAATGAAACTCTTGGACGGTGCTTTTTTTGGGGGGCTATTTCTAATATTATCTTCTAACGGAGTGGCTGGGCTGCTTGCAACATTTTCACCTGCGTTCTAGCTGTGCTCGGCTAACTCTAAGACCTAATGTGGTTCACTTGGCCTTTATTGCGTTTTATTAAAGCATAGATTATGATTTACAGTGTTGTGTGAACTCAAACTCGGTTCTCCCCCCCCCCTCCCCGCGTTTTAGGATGCCCAAGGAACGAAGGCAATATAAGACTGACACTTAGCCAGTTCTTCTATTTGCCGATGGGTAATTTGCCCAATGTCTTAATATATAATTTCTGTAATATCTACCTAATGTCTCATATAGTCTAAATGAGAGACTCCTCAAGTACAGGAGGCACCGGCGGTTGCTTTTTACCGGACGGAAGTTATTCATCTAATCTGGAAAGGCTGTGTACACTTTCTGTCCCTTTCTCGCCCTCGCTTTAGTCAACGGGGAAAGCCGCAGGCAGCCTCTCCACTCGCGGCCAAAGGGGAACGCGGAGACAGGCGGGCCAGGTCCTCCACCAAGTAAGGCCGATGCCCTTGGCCAGGAAGGCCCTTCATCCTCCCAAAACCTCGGAGCTCCAAGACAGGGAACCTTGGAAGTGGGCTGAATCTCTCCTGGGTTGGTGCTGCGGTTTTCCGGAACGGCCTGTGGAGAGCGCTGGGGAAGAAGAGAAGCCAGACCGGCTGCCTCTTCCCAATAATCGTTTAGTAACCGTTTGGTGGCGGTCTGAGTAGAGGGTCGGGGAAAGAGGGAGACAAGTAGTCCCGCACGTGGGGCTGTTCCTCAAATCGGCCGTGGGAAGAGCAGCGAGGCATCGTTTCTGAAGGAGAGCCGGCTTTCTGGGTGTGAAATGGAAAGACTGGCTCAGACCTTAAGACCTTCAATGGAACCGACTCAAGGGGCAGGGGGGGGACCGACTCCAGCTTTTGGCACTGCGCGGGTCCCGATCCACCTACAAAGAGACTTTCGGGGCAGCGGGAAAAGGTGCCGAGGCAATGCGCCTATCACGGAATAGGGTTGTGGCCGGGGGGGACTAAAAAGACATTTACCGCCTGCCGTCTGCTACTCAGAGAGCGCTCCCGTAACGCCTTTCTAGGGGGTGAGTGTTATGGGTCTCTGCGCTTGTCCTTCACCAGGCCAATTCTCTAGGAGTTGGAGAAGGAGCAGAAATCGCCACAGCTTAGCCTAGTACATCTTAATTCCCAGGGCAGTTGACATTTCCAGAGTAAATGCAATAGATGGGAAGAGTCCGAGGCCCCCTCTCCTTCACCAATCCTGGGTTTAAGGTTATGTTCCCTCAAATCAAACTGAAGACGATTCTTGAAATCCCACGATTTTGTTTTTTCTGTCCCCTAGTTGGGTATGTGACTTCAATAACAGAGAAGAGGGTACATGTTTTCCGAAATTCCAGAAGTTTCTTTTTATACAAAGTCTGGCCATCCGCATTTGGGAGTAAGGCCCATTGAATTCAGTTCGGCACTTTGTAATTGAACCAAACTGTGGAGCAACAGACATTGCCTAACATT